GTGCATCTCGACTACCGCGCGCCGGGTGGGGCGCGGGCCCCTGCAGCGTATAAAAAAACAGTCCCCCCCCCAAACATGGGTGGGGGGGTCCAAAATTTCCGCTCCCTGGGGGTGGGGGTTGGGGGGGGGGGGGGGGGTGCATATGCGCACGGAGTGGCTGCCAGATCTCAACCTCTCCCAAGAGCCTGGAGAAGAGGTTACAGATGGACAGGTCCTGAGGCTGGGCTCATTCCCTCCCTGCATGGAGCCTAGGGAGAGCTGCCACAGGCTGAGCTGCCTTGGGGACACTGGATGATTGACAAGCCAGTGCAGGGCAGGCCCACTCACTCCATGGTCCTTGCTGCTCTGGGCCTCAAGTTTCCTTCTAGGGAATGGACTAGGTCACAACAGCCTCACAGGGCTTCTGGGACAAGAGGCCACACAACAGGGAACTCCACAGTACAGACAGAAGATGCTACTTGGGGTCTGGGCCTATCAGCAGGTCTTGTCCTGGGTCTGTCTAGGGTGACCCACACTATCCTCCCCAACCCTCCTCCAGTGGTTTTTGAAAAAGAAAGGGGACATTTGATGAAATCTTTAATGAAACTGGAGGGGTGTGACAGTGTCAGGTGATGGGGTGGGCTTGAGGGCCAGGGTGATGGGCAGGGGCTGGGCAGGGTAGGGGTTCCTCTTCCTCGCAGCAACCCTCCCCCATCATCCCACTGTGGGGGAGCGTAGTGGAGAAGTGGAGCCATAAATATGTCCAGAATCTCGGAGGCACAGGGCACAGGGTTGTTGGAGTCTCAAAGAGGGGGCAAGGGTAGACCAGGGCCACCCTTGTCTGGGGGTCCTGGCTCCTTGGGTGGCCGGGGAGGTCCTGGGGGGTCCCCTGGCTTGCGACCATGCTTGCGGAAATAGCGGTAGCGCTGGACGTAGGCCCGTACCAGGTTGCTCACCTTGACAGGGTTGATCTCCCCGCTTTTGCTGTGGCAGATCTGGGGAGCCAGGAACAGCTGAGTTCCTGCCATCCCCAGGCCTCTCCACCCTGAACCAATGACTGTGCCAGCCCAACACCCCCTCTGGTCCTTGTGCCCTCATTCCCAGACCCCCACCCTCTCCACCTGGCCATCTCTGGCCTACCTTGTGGACGGCCTTCCTCAGGATGTCCTTGTACTCCTCCTTGGTGATGTCCTTCTTCTGGTAGTACGGTTTGATGGCCAGCTTTACCTCCTCCACTGCCCGCTCCTGCGTGTGCAGCTTTTTCAGATACTGATGGGGAAGGAGCAAGACAGACACAAGGACCGTGAGTCCTATGCCACCCTGGCCCTCGGCTCCCGTTGCCGCACTGGCCCCTGGTGTGGCCTAGCCAGAGTAGGGCAGTCTGGGGAAGACAGCCACCCTGGAAGGACCTCCAGCTCAGTGGACAATGGGATTCTAAAGCAACGAGCGGGAGAATCTGTTCCCCATCCCGTACCACACAGAAACCGACAGAAGAAAAGCAACGGAGTGCAGTAAGGCTGGCAGAGCAGGTCCCCGGGCCTGCAGTGCAGCACAGGAACATGAAGAAAAAGCCAGCCAAGCGAGGGCCACCTGCTTCCCATGCTGGAAGTCTGGGGCTTTTAGCAGGCCTGCTCTGCACCCTAGATGAGACATCGGGTGAGCGGCACCTTCAACCAGCAGTGCTGGGGCAGTGGACCAGAGCAAACCTGTCTAGAGCCCATATAAAGGAAACAGCCCGAGGCCTGGGGGTAACAGTCCTCCCTGTGTCTGCCCATAACCTCTTGCTTGGAACATTATCTCCCCTCCACCCTCAGCTTCCTGAGTGCTGGGACTACAGGTCTCAGCTACCATGCCCAGTGCTGTCATTTCTTGACTCTTCTCCCACTTACATAAAGGTGGAGCGCAACTGAGGAGCAAATTAGTGGGAGGAGGACAGCTATATAAAAATATGTATATAAGCCGGGCGTGGTGGCGCACACCTTTAATCCCAGCACTCAGGACATCTGGGGCTACAGGGAGACCCTGTCTCAAAAAGACCAAAAAAAAAAAAAAAAAGTATATACAAAGTATAACTGCATGTAGCTCTGTTTATGTGTGTGAAATCCCACTCCCCTCCCCGTCCTCTGGATGGAACCCAGGACCTCAAGCATCTAGGCAAGCATTCTATAGATGGTGGTATCTGTAGCCCTGTGGTTTTGTTAAATCTGTCCAGCACCTGGCACCCACTTTTCCCCATTTAGCCCATCTTTTGACTTGGGCTCCCCTTCTCCACGGCGTGCTCACCTTATCTGTGTCCCCACGTCCCTCTGAGCTGCTGCTGCCCTCTCTCTTGTCAGACGCAGGGGCCAGCCCAGTGGGGGTGGGAGGGGTAGAGCCACAGCCCCCCAGGGGGAGGCTGCCAGGAAGCAGGTAGCTGGAGGGGCCTGGGGGCAGACCCAGAGAAGTGGGTACAGGAGCTGGGGTCACCCCCAGACTGGAGGGTGGCTTCCGGTGGCTGAGGATCTGCGAGAAGAGAGTGTGATGAACCCAGAAAGGTGGAAGGGAAGAGGGGGACTTTGTTCCCCCTCTGTTCCCTCGGGTTTCCCAAAGGGGTGGGGCAACAGGCTCCTCTTCTGGCCAATACCTTGCCCCAAGGCCTGCTGGGAGTTGTAGTTCCTCTCCTACCCCGAGGCAATGGACAAAAGGGGCTGCGGGGACTCTTCCCCATGGGAGCCCACCTGGTTGGTGGCCTGGATCAGCTCCTGGGCCTTTGCTCGGCTTGCCAGGTTGGCTTCTTCCATCTTGAACAGCAGCGCAGTCACTGCAAGGTACGGAGGGGTGACGATGCGGAGATCAGGAGGGTAACACTGGCAACCCTCACCTAAGCCCCATGTTGCCAGCACCCTAGGTTGGCCACGTAAGGCCTCACTTCAGAACTCAAAGGGGCTTTGACCAAGAGTCACCACAGACACCCCTCCAACGTTCTTAGGACTGGAGAGGTGCAGGTGTGCCGGTTCGAGGAGCAGGCCAGGCGAGACAGTGCCTTGAAGAAGCATTCTGCCTCCTGACCCCTCGCCTCTCCCTACCACTGTGGTCCACTAGGAACACAGCGGCCTCAGTCATGTCGTCCGTTCTGGTGCTCTGTCCTGCCCAACTCTAGGCAAACCAATCTCCTAACCACCATCCGCTCCTCTTAGCTCCACCGGCCTCCCGGCGACCCAGGGGTGAAAAGCCCTGACCTATCACCCCGCCCACCCCTATCTACTCATTCCAAGCCATCTCCCTTCCCTGTCCCACCAGGGGACACTCACAGGCCAGGACGCCACTGGTGGTGCAGTCCACACCAGAGGGCAGGTTCCAGGGCAAAGGCGGGGGGAGTGTGGGCAGCTGGGAGACCCTCGCAGCTGGCCCATCCTCTGCGCCGGAGTCTCCGGCGGTAGACCCGGCACTGGGGGCGGTGCTCGGGGCGGCGGCGGCTGTGCTGGTGGCCGTAGTGGTAGCCGGCTGCTGCTCCTCCTCTTCTTCCTCCTCTTCCTCCTCCTCCTCCTCTTCCTCCTCCTCTGCAGCTACTCGGACCCCCGCCTCCTCACTGGCTTCCTCGGGCAGGAAGGAGACCTCCGGGGTCTTGCAGCTGCTGTCCACAGTCTGCGAGTCTGGAGTGAGGGCGGGCGGAGGCGGGGCTGCCTTGGGCGGTGGGGTACTGGGGGCTTTGGTGGCCCGCTCCTCCCCAGACCAGGACGTCTCCTCGGCCCCCTTGGCGCTGGCTGCCTGGCTGCAGCTGTCGGCCTTGGACTTCTTGAGCGAGCCAGGCCCGCTACTGGCCGCGCTGCTGCCCCCACTGCGGACCTTCTTCCTGGTCTTGGACGGCTTAGTCTTCCCCTTGGTCCCCTTGACTTTCTTGGCCCCAGCCTTGGCTTTGACCTTGGTCTTTTTGGGCTTGGTGCTGCCCGGGGCCACCTTGGCCACCTCGGCCGGAGCGCGCTCATCAGGCTTGAGGAACGGTGAGCGGCTCTCGCGGTCGCGGCTGAACTTGACCCCGATGGAGCCCAGGGCGGAGTCCTTGGCGGGTGTGGTGCTACTGACGCCCTCTCGGATGAGCACGGCCACCTTGGACTGCAGCTTCACCTTGCAGGATGAAGACGAGGACGAGGAGCCCGAGCCGCTGCTGAGCGGGGCCTTGGGCGGCGCAGGCCCTGGCGAGTCCTTGGGCCGCGTCTTCTTGGCGCGCTCGCGCTCTGCATCCGGCTTCCTCCTAGCGGCCTTTTCCCGGGCGCCCCCGCGCCGTCGCTCCTTGTCCCTGTCCCTGCGCTCGTCCGCGCTCAGCCCCTCAGAGTCATACAGCACCTCGCGCTTCGGTGACGCGGCGGGCGATGGCACGCGCTCGGCCTTGTCGGGCCGGCCCACCGTGATGGTCCGCTTGATGGCGAACAGGTCGTGGTCCGTCAGGTCCTGGATGGATGGCGGCACGGCCCCGCGGCGCCGGTCGCGCTCGGAGCCTGCAGATGCGGGTGGCTTGTCGGGCAGCTCGGCGCGCTTGTCCCCACGCGAGCGCGAGCGCTTCTTCTTCTTCTTGCCGCCATCACGGTGCTTCCCGCGGTGTCGCTCACGGCGCGAGGACGACGATGAGGACGCGGCCGGAGGCGGCGAGGCTGAGC